AATGATATTAATAATATTAATAAAGCGTAATTTCAATTTAAGCTATAAATTATATGTAATAATTACATCATAAAAATAATAAAATTATAATAAATTAAATATTTTTCGGTTTGTTAAAATTTTTTTGTTAGCGAAAACCTTCAATGAATACACTTAACGATATTACCAATCGAAATAAATTAATCCATACTAATAGCATGAATCAATAATTATCCGATTCTAGTAATAATTCTCAACGGCTATCAAATAATACATCAATTCAAAGCAATGATTATATTTATAATAATCATTCTGAAGAAGAGGCTTCTGCTTCAACTTTGCCTAAAAAACGCCGTGGTGGACCTAAACCGGATCTGGTTTGGGAATATGTTGATGTTGGAAATTCTTTAGGAGACGGACATTATGGAGCTAGTTGTAGGCATTGCCTTCAGAGTTGGACACGTGGAAAGCCACAATTATTGAAGCGTCATTTGGCTCGTGAATGTCTAAATGTTCCACAGAACATCAAAGAAATTTGGCGAAATAATTTAGCAGCAGAAGAAAAGTCTATAAAAAGACAACATAAAATAAAAGATCAAACAGAAACATCTTTATCAGATGAAATAATCTCAAAAGATAGGCAATGACAAATAGATAGAGCAGTTTTAAAAGGCTGGGTATGTGCTGGAATTCCCTTTGAAACTATAGACAATCCATTTATAATAGATATGTTCAAAACTTTAAATAATGGATATAATCCACCTTCCCGTTCTACACTTTCTGAACGTATCCTTGATGAAGAAGTGGTGAAAGTTGAAAAGGCAATTGATAATGAGTTAGAATCTGAGACAAACTTAACCTTAACACTTGATGGATGGACTGCGCCAACAGGATCATCATTTTATAATTATATTATTACAACACCTAATCGTAAAGAACATCTATTTCAAATTAAGGATTACTCTATTGTTTCACAAACTGGTGATTTTCTTGCTGAAGAAATAAGCAACATTCTTAATGAAATTGGAATTGAAAAATTCGCTGCTGTTGTTACAGATCATGGGTCAAATATAAGACGTGCAAGAAGATTAGTAAATGAAGAGTTTAATTTTATTCTTGATATTCGTTGTGGCGCACATTCAATTAATTTAATTGCACATGATTTATCTGAAACTGAAAAAATTAAAGAATTAATCAAAAAATGTGGATTAGTCATAAATTTTTTTCACCGTTCATCAATAGCCAATGAATTTTTAAAAAAAGGATTAGCAGCAATGAATATTAATGGAGGTGAACTTAAGACATATTGTAAAACACGGTGGGGCTCTTTATATACAACAGTTGATTCTTTAATTCGTGCACAACCAGTCTTTGATTGGCTTATCAATTATCATGCAATTACAATTTCAAACAAGATAGTATTTGATTTAATTCAAAATCCAGATTTTTTTAATGATTGTCGTTACATATCAGCAATAATGAAACCTGTTAAAGACATGATTAATCAATTAGAAAATCGGCATGCAACTATTGCTGATTGTTATGTTGCGCTAATTAAAATTGCCGCAGCTATTAATCGTCTTCCAAATTCAAATTTATTTAAGCCTAAGGCTATAGAAATTTATAACTCACACTTTAAAGAATTTGCAACACTACTATATCAACTTGCATATTATTTATACCCATTATATCGAGGTATTGGATTAAATAAAGGTCAATTTTATGAAATTTGTGAAACTGCAGCCAGTATGTGGCGAGACTTGGGATATGATGAAGCATCATGTGAAGATTTGCTAACTGAGCTTCGTGCTTATAAACGTAAAGAAAAACCTTATGTTCAACCATTTAAAAAAGAAAAGGAATCTCCATTAATGTGGTGGCTTAGTATGGATGCTCAAAAAGAGCCATTAACAGAACTTGCTATCAAGATCTTTTCTATCCCACCATCACAAGCTGTATGTGAAAGAAATTTTTCAACTCTTAAATGGTTATTTGGAGATCGCAGAACAAGGTTAAATATATTTCGATTAGAAGCAATTGCAAAAATTCGAACCTTCTGTTATACGAATATTAAAGAAGAACTATCCTTTTATGGAAAAGAATTATCTGAGTATGATTTAAGAGATAGTGTAAATGGATCAACCGTGAACTCTAGTCAGTTAGAATTTACTATTCAAAAATTTGATGAAGATTTTTCTGATTCATTTAATCCTATTTCTGAGCCTCACAATAAATGGCTAGAAGAAATCAATAATAACAAATTATCAATTGAGGAAATTGTTGATATTTCAAATCCAGCTTTTATTGGAAGCAATAATTCATTTATTGGTAACCAAAGCAGTGCATTGGATACTGCAACTAAACGATTGAGCTCAGGAAATCTCAATTATAACCCTGCAAATATAGTGGCGCGAATATTCATTGAAGATAATTAAAGTAAGGATCAAGTATATATATTCGTACTTTATATTATATACAATTCATATTAAAAAAAATAAAAATTAGGATCTTAACGATGTAATGAATTCCAAGAAAAGCTTTATACTATACGGAAGTATTAAATATGAAATCGGATTTAATAGAAAGGTCTTTAATATTAATAATAGCCAAACGAACAAACGATTACATAGTCATAAATGTAGTAACTAATATATATGTAATTAAATGCAATTAAAATAAATACATGCAAAGAAACTATCAACTGCTTTATTCCAAAAATTCATACAGCAAATAATCAGAACAAAAAAGTCTCGCCCAATGAAGTTTTTTGTGTGACCAAGATAATTTAATAAAGTTATTCATATAAAAATAAAAATCCCATCATAAAAGTTATTCATACGACCAAGTTTCTCAAGCAGCCCTATTCTAAAAGCTCTTTGCACAACAAAAACGATTTTATTCTAATCTAATTAAATATTTTGTGCAACTAAATAATTTAATTAATACACACTGAATTTCTTTAGCTATATTGTAAATAGCAAATAGGTATTACTAACAATGTATAAGCGCATAATTTATTTAATACGTAGTAAATGTCCTGATAAAGTCTTATGTAAAATCATAAAGTTACGGCATATGAAAAATTGAGTTATGG